GACTTTGCAAAAGCATTTGCATCTGCCATAGTGGTTGGGATTGAATTTTGATTTAGATCTCGGGCATTTTTAGCCAAGGAATCAGCTATTTCATTGAACTCTAGGTTCACATGGGCGGGAATCCACTGCAAGAAGCAATTTTTCCGGAGACGCTGAAGTTGTCCAAGTTGTTCTATGATATTCAGGACAGGGCTTGAGGTACCTTTGCTGAGGGCCTGTAAGGCAGACCTGCAATCTCTGAAGATGGTGATACCACTAAGCTGCTCCGAAGGTTCAAGATTGATGTACGTTTCGATAGCCGTAGAAATGGCTATCAATTCTGCAGTAAAACTAGATGCTATTTTTCCAGCACCAGTTGCGAACTCTCGTTTTTGATCATTAGGTAGGAGCAGTACCACTCCCGCACCTCCGTTGGTGAAAGTGAAGTCAATCGCAATATATTCATCACAGATCCAATTTGGAAGCTGCATATAACTAATATATTGTGTTTTTTCCAAGATAAAAATTTATAAGGGAATAACTAAGGGACTAATTTTAATCTATGTTAAAAAATCCTAAATGACGCCATTGTTTTAATTGTTTAACTAAACTTTACATGCTATTCCGCTGTGCAAAAACTATTACACTTAGAAACTTGAACTTACAAATCAATGTAGAAAAATGTGCATGGAATACATGGAGTATAATGAAACTAATATCCGATAGTACGATAGAAAATTATTAACTATTAAACTTGCGGTAAAAAGTACCTCTCTGCAAGCCACCAGAATTCAACTACAGAGTTGACAAACTGAAAAGGCCAGTTTTTTTTATGAACTCAGCTTTCTTTTTGATATTCAAATTTGTTCGAAAATAATTGATAGCACTATTAAGTGTTTTTCGCGAATTTTTTTCTCACTTTTACCTCATTCACGGCTTTTTGACAAATTCAATTTTAATAACGCATTGTAATTTAAAGTATAGAAAAAAAGTGAGTTTAGATAAACCATGAAGTTTCAAATGCTGAAAAAAAATCAAAATATTAAAATGTGGACGAATTATGGCCGAATTAGGCAATAGGGAAGTGATCATACCACAATTCGTTCGCATTTTGTTGTTCTGAAATATGATATTTTGAATTTTCTTTTCACCATCTGAAACTCTAATTGAATTTACTCTTTGTTTACCTGAACACACTATTTTCTATACTTTAATTTTTAAGACAAAAAAACGGAATTTGCTTTTAATTTTTAAATTACTTTTTAGAATATACTTTAATTCTTAAATTACTTTTTAGAATATACTTTAATTTTTAATTTACTTTTTAGAATATACTTTGATTTCTAAATTGCAAAAAACAGAATTTACTTTTAATTTTTAAATTACTTTTTAGAATATACTTTAATTTCTAAATTACAAAAAAACAGAATTTACTTTTAATTTTTAAATTACTTTTTTGAATATACTTTAATTTTGAAATTACTTTTTAGAATATACTTTAATTTTTAAATTACTTTTTAGAATATACTTTAATTTTGAAATTACAAAAAACAGAATTTACTTTTAATTTTTAAATTACAAAAAACAGAATTTACTTTTAATTTTTAAATTACTTTTTAGAATATACTTTAATTTTTAATTTGCAAAAAACCGAATTTACTTTTAATTTCTAAATTGCAAAAAATAGAATTTACTCTTAATTTTTAAATTACTTTTTAGAAAATATTTTAGTTTCTGAATTACAAGAAACTGTCGATAAAACAGAATTTACCATGAAGCGTTTCTCCCGTTATATTAACCATTTACATAAGTTATAGTGTAATTTTTTCCCTACTTTTAACTCAAATTTTTTTATGTATGTCACATTTTGTCTAATAAGTCTTTACTGTCTCTTGCTCTTCTAATTTGTTCCGTTGCACTGAGCTTTTGGAGCCCTCTCCAGACTGTTCTGACGATACCGTTCGAAAACAAACTGAAAAGTTTTATCGGTATACATCTTAAGAGAAGAGTGGATAGATTCTTTCCTTACTTTTTTGTTATAAATAAACGATTTTGTGTGAAATTCAAATGCTTTGAAATCAAACTTTTAATTTTAATAAGTATTTCACAACACTGCACTGACTAGAACTTTGGTCACTTTTTTATCAAATTAAAAATTCATTTAACGCGTTCACGTCGGGGTGACCCACCGATGGGTCACGCTAGATTGTCACATCGGGCGGCGCACCGGAGTAAAAACTGGTAACAAATAAATTTCATTTTTTTAGTTTTTTTCCGGGAATAATGAAAATTCATAACTACCAATTGTTTTTAACGGATGCAATTTTTACACTAAATTGCTTCTTCACTGTGATAAATTTCCTTACAGTGAATTGTTATTGTTGAGAATAGATTAACTCCTCCCGAATATTATCTAATATTGAAATAGTTCTTCTACCAGTATTTTCTCTTTTCCGTCCCGCTTTCAGGCGCAACACTCGGCGTGAACGTGTTAAAATGTGCATTTAGCAATTGAGAACTTGATTGTTGCAGTAAAAGTTGAACTATCAAATCACATTTAGTAGGAATGATCTTTAAGCTTGTAAAAATAATGAATTTTATTTCATTATTTCTTAAAGATTTTTTTTTATTGCAGTTAAACTTTCAGAAAGAAATTATTATTATTAAATAAAGAATAATAACGTCATGTGAAATTTATGAATTACATCAATTTAAAATTCAACAATTAAACGATAGACTCAAAAGTTGAAGAAATTTAGAGCGGGCATCAAAATCTGTGTGCGCTGGAACAAACCCATTTTTTCACTCGATTTTTTGCTTTCATTTGATTGAGTAGGAAATATTTCAATATTTTCATTCAGAGTCGTGATGGTTCAGGGGATAGAGCATTCGCCTTCCAATGGGGTGACCCGAGTTCGAATCCCAGCGATGACTAGTCGATATAAATTATGCATCGGGCTTACACAGACCACAGTGCTGACGTAAAATATCCTCAGTGGTAGATAGATCATGGGTTAGAGTTCCCTTGCCGTTATGCTAACCGGGGGAGGTCTTCGTGGTTTTCCTCGCTATGTATCGCAAACGCGGTTCCATTATAAAGTCCTTCACGAAGGCAAATTTCTCCCAATACTTGATCCAGGAGTTTCTTTGTCTTCTGGATTGGGTTCAAAATTACAAGATTTCGGAGTTAAAAATTAATGGTCATAAACCCGAAAATTAGGTCAGCTGCTCATTGACGGTTATAAAATAAAATAATTTTTTTTTCATTCTGTGTCTCAAAACTGATGTATTCATTTATAGCACTAAAACGACGATCAATGTTTTTAATTTGTGCTTTTCACATTAATTTCCACGGTTCTGTAAAGTAAGAATACAGTGAAACTTGTTAAATGTTCTTACCCTGAGAATAGGTCTCTCACCATGTCCATAGAAAAAGGTATGGGTATAGGGATCATTCTAGGTGGGCCTCTCATCATCATCCCCATACTAGCTCCGTGAAGCAGTGCTTTCATCATGAAATCCGAATGATGACCATCTACTAAAGCAAACATCAGTAACAGACTGATGGCTGTATATTTATATGCTAACATCTCCGACGTCTGTAACGAAAAAAATATAAAAAGTTAATCTCTATATGTAAAAAAACAATACCATCCCTCAAAAAGACAAAACTCTCTCTTTTTTTCAGAGAGTTAGAACGCGAAAATTTAGATCAAGTGCTCTTTGTGAGATAAGTAGAAAAACTGAACAAGTTTATTTTCGATATTTTGGAATTAATTGGGTAGTTAAGGAATAATTAGCCTAATTAGCAACAATGCTGAATAACACGCTTTAACACCTTGGGGACGGGTGATTCCTAAAAACATTCATACAAAATCAGAATCAAGATGTAAATAAATAAAAAACGGTAGCTTAAATGTAGGCGTTGCTAATTTGACAGTTTTATTTTGCTTTTACTTTAATTATTGTTAGTTTAATCATATATATAATCAATGTTAGTTCAAAGTATAACTAAATAATTTTATTTTGAACTAAAGTAATGATGAATTAAATAAATCAAACAATTATAACACCGCTAACAAATAAATTGCTAAAAAACTACTTTGGTTACCAGTTTTATCTTTTTACCCTGATTGATACGGTTTTATGCTGGCACGTATTTGTGACAGTCGGCGCGAAAGGGTTAACTATGATAGAAATCTCAAATTGGGATCATGTGTTCCTTATCAGATACAAAGAGAAACTAAAAAACATTTCGATATTTTGTAAGTATCTGGATAATTAGCTTGATTGACATCACGAATAAAAAGATAATTGCTCACAGTAGTTTAATTTAGTTAAAAAAAAAGATAATTTCAATGGCTATTACAGACTTACAGGGGTTGGACAAAACTATGGAAACTTCTATACTTAATTTTTTATATTTCTTAAGAAGTACTTTGAGAATTATTTTAAAACTTCAGAAGAGTTTAGGTTGTGCGATTTCTCAGACAAATCAATAAAGTTTAAAGGTTTGAGAAACCGAGAATAAATTACAAGCGTAAAAAAATATTTTTGAACACCTTATGTCAAAAAATATAGCGATACACATGTAATTTCTGTCAAAAAATTTGCTTAATTTATGCAATAACTGTATAAAATTACGTAAAACCTAGCTTAAATATTCATGAAGATATGAATATTCTTATAAGAACAAATTTTTCTTACTTTACATTTTCTTACTATAACTGCAGAAATATTCAATAAAATTAAGTAAACTTTTTACAGTAATTTTTAATTAATAATAAAAATATCACTTTAAAATTTGAAGAAAATTTGTTAAAAATTGCCCAAGATATGAGTATTTAAGTAATCCTTTCATAGTGCGCATGCGCGGAAAATATTGAATTTTTTTTCATAATTTTCCTATGAATTGTATTTGATTACTTAAAAAAAAAGTCCGATTTAAGTGTCCTTTAAATATAAAATGTTTCTAGCAATTTTCTAAGTAACTTTTTACTTCTTTATTAAAAACCGTAAATGATAAGGGGTTTTCTATGAATTTTATTTTATATCATACAACAAAATTTAAAAACAATTGACAATTCTCTAATATGATGGTTAGGACAACAAAATGTGATGGTATTTGGAAATAAAGCATCATTTAATAGGGTGAGGTCCTATATAATGTCGATATAATTTGTACTAAATCTTGTTTAATAATACAACATAAAATATTTGGAAAATCCCTAGACATTCTTAGCCTCAAATTTACAAAAAATTATTAGAAAATTGAGAGAAATTTCCTTAATTTTCAAGATATTCAAATCAGATTTGTTTCATAAGTATTCAAATATGACTCAGAACAAAATTATGAAGAAAAAATATTTCCGTGCAGTATAAAAGAATGACTTTAAATGCTCATATCTTGCGCAATTTTTAACAGTTTTTAAATTTTAAAATATTTTTTGTTATTATACTTTGTTGTGTATTAATTAAAAATTACACAATTTTTTTTCTTCATTTTATTGAATATTTCTGCAGTTATAGTAAAATAACGTATGCCAAAAAGATTATAGATTTTCGTAAAAAAGTCCATATCTCATGAATTTGTTTACATCATGAGCTATGTTTACGAAATTTTTTGCAGTTACTGCATATAACTAAAGAAGTTGATACAAGTTACTGCTGTATAGGACGTTTTGCATAGAATGTTTAAAAGCACTATTTTTTGTTCGTAATTTATTGCCAGTCCCTCAAACCTCTAAACGTTTTAAACTTTATTAATATGTATGGGAAATCGCATTGACCTAAACACATCTTAAGTTATAAAATGATTCTCTTCTTATTTCTTGAGACATATAAGACTACCGCTATAATTATTCAACATCAATTCCTTAGTATCTATCGAAAATGCCGAACTTCCTCTATCACCTCACTGGCTGCTAACCACAACGATCTGACCTAATACAAATAGTGCTCAAATTCACAATGAATGGGATAGAGCTAAAGCTCAATGCTAGGACTAGAACCTTCCTTTATCTAAAACCGCAAGATTTAATCGAGTTAGTATGGCTTATATACTAGTGAGATGTTACTTAATAATCGTAGTGGTAGTTACGCCACACATTATTATTTTTATAAATAATATGCACGGAAGAGCCATTACATTATGACCACTCTGCTAATAACATGTAGGACCACCTTTAGCCCTCAAAACTGCTAGCACCCGCCGTGGCATTGATTCCACAAGGTGCTGATATGTAGTCTGAAGTATCTGGTACCAAGCGCTCACCAACTGGTCTTGGAATTCCCTCACGTTGCGAGGGGGTAGCGTGGCAGCACGAATTTAATTTCCAAGTAAGACCACAAATGCTCTATTGGATTAAGGTCAGGTGAATTTGGGGGCCAAGACATGACTTGAAAGTAACTGGAATGCTCCTCGAACCAATCCATGACGATTCGACCCTTATGACATGGTGCATTATCCTGTTGGTAAGTATTTATTCCGGCAGGAAAAACTGTTGCCATGAATGGGTGAACCTGGTCTGCAACTATGTTCAAGTAGCTTACAGACGTCAGGGATTGTTCTATGAGGATTATGGGTCCTAATGTGCCCCATGAAAACATTGTTCATGGGCGAAAAACCATGAAAATCTGGGCGAGCCCATTGTTATAGTTGAAGGGTGGTCATAATGTAATGGCTCTTCGGTGTATTTAGACTGCTGAAAAAATTGCATTATTTTGTGGTCAGGAAACTTAAAATAGTTTTTATTAAATTTGATAAAAATTAATCCTTTAAATAGTTCAACTTAACATAGTTTCTACATATGCATAGTTAAGAATAAAAAATATATTAAACCTTGTGTTGTTTTCGATATAACACACTCATTTAGCGTAAACATTATTTATTAATACTTTTTAAGAATTAAATTCATTGTTGCAAATACAATACAAGATTGATTGAAAAACACAAGTAGTCATAAGTATGTATACATACTTAATGCTAAATATTATTGTTTTCCGTTAATACTGTATTCTCTTCCAAACACTACACTTCAACTAACATTAGAACTCAAACAAGTTAATAACTAACAACATATTGCCGAAACATAGAAAAGTGTTTGCAAATGAAGTGCAATGGCCTTTTGAATTCCTTGATAAAACTGTTATTAACACATGTAAAGATACATTCTTTTAAAGTATGCAGCAGAATTTTATAAAACAGCAGAGGTATTTTTCTTTTAGTGATTAAGATAGGCCGGGATAACCTGGTTGGCTGGGCGCTGGAGTCATGTTCGTGAGAACGGGAGTTCGAATCCATCCGGCTGAAGACTACCCATGTATCACATGGTGACTGGTGTACGTTAAACCTGTCGGATTACAAAGTCCTCCAACAAATTATACCTCGTGGAGTACCGAATTGGTGATTGATCGTTCTCTGGTTCAGGTCAAAATTACGCTTTGTGGAAGAATGAATGGAAGCATGAATGGGTCTGCTCTATAAACGGGTGCGACGTAAGTAGAATTCTTGGCCCTAGATGGCGCCACTAGAAGATTAGAACACTCGCATCCCCTCTGCCTTAATGTCCGACGACAACAACAGCAGGGATTTTGACAATTTAGCTGCCCTCTACGCATAAACATTTCTGGATGAAATTGTAAGAAGAAAACAAAGTGAAATGATTTTTATTTTTCGTTTTTCTACATTTTTACCATAAATGAGAAAATTTCTTTGATTTGTCTTTATGTTAACTTAACGAACTTGTTACAACATAAAGTTTTTGTATATTTATAATAATTTATATTAATATTTATAATTTATATTTATGCATTTTTTGTATATTTATATTTTGCATAGTATTATAAAGGAGTCATAATAGTGCACAAAAACGAAAAGAAAAAAAGCAAGAAAAAATGAGATTAAAAAAGAATATCAAGTAAAAAAATTTTCAAAAAATTCTAGATCTGAAAATTATATTATATTATGCTTTAATGCTTAGTACAGAATAAAATTTTAACAATGCTCCAAATTCCTGTTTCAAAACTGTTAAATAAGTTACTGTTAATATCTGTTTCAATACTGTTCTGCACAATTTAAGATGCTTATAGAAACAGCAGAAATTATCAGAAGTTTTTCTGAGGAAGGGAAAAATTTTTTCTTTTTTCAAAACAGTTAATACTATATCAATAATTAATATGAATTAAACGGTAGAAGAACCGGGTTTGTAAAATGCAAATAATATGCAACATACTTCATAAATGGCCAATAATTTCATGAAAAAATAGAAAATTACATCAATTTCAAATTATATCATGTTTTATTACGGAATCTAAAAATAATTTCGTTTTTATTTCTTTTCTGGTAGAGGTAAGAACGGAATGATTTTTCAACCAGTTTTTATTTTCAAAAATATACGATTGGTGTTTTAAGTAACATCGGTAAATAAAAGTTTCAACTTACTTCATGGGTATCCAATCATTTAATTAAAGGTTAATCAAACATCTATTGTCTTCTTCTTTTTCGACCTCAACTAGTTTTTTTACCATTCACACTAAAATACTGATTTCTTATCAAATAAGAAACAATGAATAAATGAGTTTTCAAGAACTAATACAC